CTACTACTAGCGCTGGAGAATACGGTACTACCTACCCCTGAGGAACCTCCTGAACTGCCTGAATCTGCCCCTCAGTCTTTTGTGCTGATGGCGGTGCCTCAAGTCTTGCCTGCTGGCCCTGAACTCTGCCCTGCTGTTGCTGCTGCTGCTGGTTTGGGCCCTTGCCCTGCTGAGCTCCTGCTGGTGCACTACGACACTCTGATGCCTTGTGCCCGACTTTGTGGCAGTTGAAACAAGAACCCTGGAACTTGCGCTGCTGATGCGCTCGCTGATTCTGCTGGGGTCCCTTCTTATGAGGGCCCTGCTGTTGCTGATGCTGATGCCCTGTCCCCGCTCTGCCCTGCCTTGGCCTTCCCCTCCTTGTCCTTCAGGAACATAGTGGTCTCGATCTCCTGAGAAGTGGCAGCCTCAGCTACCTCCCTGACTGAAAAGAATCTCCTCGACACAAGATACCGTCGGAGATTAGGGCGAAGCCCAGCCAAGAACATCTGAGCCTGACGCTCTCCTGTCTGCCACATACCCGTGAAATGCAGCAACTCCATAAACCAGTTCTCATAATCCGCCACTGTCATGTCCCCCTGAGTCATCCGGGACAACTCAAGCTCCTTCCCAGTCCGGGCTGCAGAAGAAATATACTGCCCATCAAAGAAGTAAATGAAATCCTCCCATGTGAGGGTCATCCTCTGCTCTGGAGTAAACTGTAGCCGGTACCATCTCCCGGCATCTCCCTTCAGGCTATAAGATGCCAATCTCTGCTTCTGTACCGGGTCCACACTGAGTATATCGAGGATATTGCTCACATCCTCCTTCCACTTATGGGCTGCAAGAGGGTCTGGTGACCCTTGAAACTCTGGTGCCCTCATCTTCTGGTATCTCTCTACCATACGGAGCCAAGCTTCCTGCTCTCTATCTGGTACCGCTAGTGGAATAACTGCAGGTGCTACCTCTGGGTCTCTCTCTCTGATCGGGACGGCTGGTATCCCCTGCTGCTGAGCTACAGGTGGTGGTGGCGTCCGAGGTGCTATGTGAGTAGTTACCAACTCCTCTATGGCTGTCATCCTGGCAATAAGGGGAGCCATGATATCCACCAAATACTGGGGAGCCTGCTGCGGCTCTGGTGGTGCCTGCTCCTGCTCGGGTGGAGCTGGCTGTGGCTCAGGTGGGACCTGCTGGGGCTCTGCATGAGCGGCCCTTCTAGTGCGGGGTCTCCCACGTCCAGCC